TTATGCATATTATTTTTTAATTGTTCTTTGTAAAAAAGGGGTTTATTGCACATTTTTAAATTGTTCTTTGCAAAGTATAGGTGGAAGTCAATGCGTATTCGGTTCTTGTGGGGTACAAATATCATCCTATGGACTAGTTCGAACACTTGTTTTATGCTACTGACTTCTCTGTTAAGATAGTGCATTTTAGAATTGCCTAAGACATTTTTCCGGAACAGACTGGGTTCTAGTTAATCTGGGCCCCTTATGCGTTTGCCCAAGTCATCATAACCGATCCATTTAAAAACACGATGTTAGGTCGCGTTTCACTGGTGTCAATATTTTATTAACAATTTTCTCAATAATTTATAAACTATTGCACTTTACTGTATTGACATGAATCCTGTTGTGCTAATACGAAGAAAGTCGGTACATCCGTCAAGAAGTTGCTTCTCATCGATTACCAAGTTTTCTTACTAACCAAGCAAGCCCTTAGAGCCATTCTCAGACCCATTTGTCCTGTCGCATTCGAATACATGTGCCCAGCTGCACTTACTGACTTCTTATACCGGCTAGGAAGTCTCGGGACGCTGCAGTTCGAACTTAGTTTTAGCGGTAGTCATATGATAAATGCCATTCAAGCAGTGTATTACTGGGAATGTAATAACACACATATTCCATTTCGCTCCATAAATGTCGTAATACTTTGCTTCTGAAACCACCTTTTCATCTGCCTGTTTCTGCATGGTCCTCGTGCGCACAAGCTGACCGTTGTTTCTGCCCAACTTACTACCTTCCCACGCGTAATGAGCGATCTTGAAGCGCTACGTTCGTAACCCAATTCTACTTTGCAAGACCTATCGGAGTTATAATCAGGTTAGAGCATAGCGGGAGTATGAATGGGTTTTCAATGATATTGCGTTAGTACAAAAGTGAAAGCCAATTGTTTGCTCTAAATATATATCGTTTGGTAAAGTCCATGCCAAATCTTTGAAAGTAGTCTTAAAAATGCTGATTCCTCTAATGGAAATTTTGTGTCTACAAAAGAGTCTTGTAACACATTTTTAAAACGAGCTGCAGTGCTTTGTTTATGCCACCACTTGATGTTTGGTGGCTACTTTGGGGTTCGCCTTGCAATTGTGCGCATGGCTTGCCTTTGAAACAAGCCAAAGTCTGACCCCTTCTTAGCATCCTTTAATACACATAATCATCCCAAGTTAATGTCTTATTTTATCTTGGGAAGCCTTCGACACTATTCTGCTCACGTCGAATACCAATTCGATTTTGGTTTAAAGATTTGTAATCTGGTACCATCCTTTGATACTTGGATGTACAGTGCGGAGTCACAACAGAAAGAATAATAACGATATCTGCGTTTGGCTTCAACCTGTGTCCCAGCTCCACAGACAATCTATTGACAACTGTAGAGACACTGTTGTGACCCATCTAAAAAATCTCTATTAAGCTTACTCGTACCACATCCGCATATAGATACCAGGAATAGTACTATTTCGGGAACCTTCCATTTAAGACTGTTTATTTGACTACCTGCACGGATGGGATCCACTTCGATAGTCGTCTATTGTCTGAGGTATGGACCAGACACTGCTACAAAATATGGCTCAATTTAGACCCCTTCTGTAATGCTTTGTTTATATGACTACCGGACGTTCGGCGGTCGCTTTATGATTTGTCTAACCTTTGCACTCGTGGTCTGGCCTTCGGGCCATGCCCAGGCACATTTGCTCGCTTTTCTTCGGAATACATGTATCCAGCCTCACTTACTGCCTTCTTCTGCCCTATGGGAAATCTCAGGACGCCACACCTTCAGCCTATATATGTAGCGTCCCAAGGCTCCCCATGTGGGGGTAGAAAACATAAATGAGGGTGAATACATGTGTTCACAAGACGACATGGCAAATGGAGCCTGAGCGTGGCCCGAAGGCCAGCCCACTTGTACAAACACTAGACAAATTCTAAAGTGACCGCCAAACGTCTAAGGTCACAAACAAACACTAAAATACACACGTACTTATTTGCTCATAATACACTTTAATTTTCAAATCAAAAGTCTCAAAACGATACAAAAATAGTGGTTAGAATATTTAATGGTGTCAATTTTTGATCCGTAGGAAAACTCACTAAACAAAGTAATTTAACTTCTTGAAATTCTTATAACAAGTGATTTTTAATAAAGAGTTAAAAAACGCTCTCTCTCTCGATGTGGAGACATGCATATAATTAGGTGCGGTATCGCAGCAGATATGTTAAACTCAAAAAAATAAAAGAAAAATTGCTATTTAAACTTTTAACGAATGCTTTCAATTGTATTAATTTAATTAACATGATTCTTTTCAGCTAGATGGATTTAGCTTTTAGTATTGTTAATATTTGTTTGCTTTCACCAAATATGAGTCAGGCGCGCTTCCCAAGCGGGACTAGAAGTTGGTTTGTATTGCTGACAGCGTTCGTCTGTGTGTCGGTTGCATAATTTTTTGTTAATGCACTCCATTGGGAGGGAGGGTTGCGGTACATGGATGTGTTATGAGTTTGCGCTTTACTGTTTATAATTGGATACCTGAATTATTTCTGCTTGTACTCGTGCTCGGTCTTATGCTGTTGCGGTCGCAGTTAGTCAGTCATTGTTAGTTAGTCCCTCGATAGCTTATCGTCGAGCGGGTGCTATTCTTGTTTTCTGCTTCTTTATACTTGTTCACTTGTATTCCCGCTTCAGGCTTGTTCTGCTTTTTGATTTTATGAAATTCTGTTTATTATTGTCGTTTGCGGTTTAATTGCGAACTGAGGATTTGAGACCTGTTACCATTCCTCTAACAGCCCCTGCTCTTACGATCATTGTATGAGTCTTCGCTGCTTTCAATCTATGCTTGTTTTTATCTGCGCCATTATAGAGGTGAATACGACTTCGGACCTTGTTCAAGAACTTGAGGTCATAGCAATCAAGATGCCTGTGAAAGATCTGGTTGGTCAGGGTGATTATCGGACCGAGGATGCGATGGATGTTGACTCCAATACAAATGTGAATAAGGCTGCTGATCCTGCCCATCCGCCCTTACAATCCACCCTTAACCATGGACATGTAATTTGGGATTAGATATGCCTTTATTTCTGTGGTTGTTGAAACAAATATTACTGATCTGTTGCTGGCATTAATCTTGCATCTGTTTCTTGCTGATTTAGTTGAAGCAGTCAAACGTGTCGGATCCCCAAATAGAAGAATTGAGTATTGATGAAGACGACCCGGCTCGACCATCTGGGAAGATTGACTATACATTTGATGGTATTGAGGACCCCCGCGTATGTTATTTCGGATTTCCATAGTTGTGAGCTTCACATTATCACTTAAGATAGTGTAGTGGGTACTGATATTCTAGCTTCCCCCTTTTTAATTCTCGAGGCGGCCTCATGCAGTTGCATGCGTTGCACACTTGTTATTGCTAAACTGTTAATGTTGAAGAGAAGTGTGTCGTTGATGTGGCTTAGGGGCGTAATGTAACTATAATAATTTGACACTACTTTGCTTACTATGAACAGGAAAATTTACCCATTACTGAATTCGTCGTTTTCTTCTGCATTGTAGAGCTTTGATATAAAGAAGGAGCTTCGGGTGCGTTGTTATTCATCGGGTTCCTTTTTTCGCACCATGGTATCAGATTTTGCCAGCAGTGTATCATTTTGTAATTGTTTCTCTGCAAAAATTATATGCATATAAGACAGATTTTGAATCGGTATTTTTATTAATCAACCTTCATAGTCTTAGGTTAATCAGGCGTATCATCTCATCTTTGTTATTTATACGTGTTTGCTTGTCTTAGAACGCGTTTTTTTCGAAGACTCGCATTTAGGTGTCAATTTTATCCCTTCTTTTAGCTGCTTAGCGATCCAGTGACAATCCGTTGCCTACCCTGGAGAATTCTACTTGTTTTTGTTCCTGTTTGTCAGCGTTCAACAATGGGCATGTTTCTTCAGTGTAATGACAATAGCACCACCACTAATTGGACTTGTGGTGCTCGCGCCAAACTTGAATTGCTATCGCAAACGAGGTCCCTCAGTAAAACGCACACTATTATGCACTCATTTGCAGCAAAAGAAAATGATTGGGGTTATCAGGCGTTCATATCATATGAGGAACTTTTCAATCCTGAGAACGGCTACGTGGTGAACAAGAAATTGCGTGCTCGCATTCAGGTCGAGGCAGATGCGCCACATGGAACCGAGTGGGACTCAAAAAAGTTCACTGGTTTTGTTGGTTTGAAAAATCAAGGTGCCACGTGCTACTTAAATTCGGTACTTCAGGCACTTTACTGTACCAATGCTTTGCGCAAAGCGGTCTTTCAAATGCCCACTGAGAGTGACGAAATATCCACGAGCGTTCCTCTCGCTCTCCAACGCACTTTCTTTGACCTTCAGTGTTCTGATAAGGCTGTTGGAACCGAGAAACTCACTCGAAGCTTCGGTTGGACTACTTGGGATTCCTTTATGCAGCATGACGCGCAAGAACTCTGTCGTGTTTTGTTGGACAATATGGAGTGCAAAATGAAGGGAACTGATGTAGAAGCAATAATCCCAAAACTATTTTGCGGCAAAATGATCTCATACATTCGCTGTAAAGATGTGGCCTACGAGTCGAAGCGGGAGGAGCAGTTCTACGACATCCAGCTGAAGGTGAAAGGGAATTGTGACGTTCACGATGCTTTTAAGGAATACGTGCAAGTGGAGACTTTGGATTCCGATAATAAGTATGATGCCGGAACGTTTGGCTTACAAGATGCGGAAAAGGGAATCAAATTTTTGCGATTTCCACCAGTTCTTTACTTGCAATTAATGCGGTTTCAGTACGATTTTGTATCAAATAGCAATGTCAAAATCAATGATCGTTTCGAGTTTCCGTATGACTTGGATTTGAGTGATTACCTTGTTCAAGATGTGGAGAATATGGAAGAAGAGCCTAGGTACACAAAGTACTTTCTGCAGGCGGTTCTGGTTCATTCTGGGGACCACCATGGAGGGCACTATGTGGTCTATATTAACCCTCGCGGTGATAATAAATGGTATCAATTTGATGACGACGTTGTAAGCAGCTGCAGACCAAAAGACGCTATTGAAATGGTTAGTATTTTGGCTTCAGATGTACAGAAAAGCTGTATTAATCTCGTTTGACGTTTCATTTTACACGCTTCCGGTCATTATACCACTGGTATGATGAATTATTGAAGAACATTGTGAGACGGGTTTACGAATAACAAATTCAGGTGTCTTAACGTCATTTTTCATCACCTAAGTCCATTTTGTAACTGTCCGTTTCTTCCATCTGGCAATATTTTACGTTGATTTTGCAACTGTTTTTCATTACATTTGGCATTGGCTGCCTCCGTGCAATTTGAACCGCGTAATCAAGTTGAACCTACGTTTTTTTCTCTGAAACATCTAGCATTTTACTCATTTGGATTGTATGTATAGCTTTGCTCAAACAGAACTTCTATGTGGGTTTCGTGCATGTGGCCGCAGATTAGTTTTGATTTTTTGGTCGTGATCCTGTTTCTAGAATTACGGGAACAGTGATGATCCTCTCTGTCGCGCTTCCTCGAATGCCTACATGTTGGTATACATAGCATGCGACGCCCGGGAAGAGGTTCTGTGTCCCGTGACTGATGATATGATTCCCTTTAGTCTCTCAAATCGGTTCCATGAGGAACACAGCGTTGAAGAGAAAGAACGGCGTGTAAAGGACCATGCTCATGAATTTGCAACCATTAACATTCTTCTTGATGAGGACTTTTATGGATTTGAGGTCAGTTTGCAAACTTCCATTGCATCTAAGGCTTGACGTGTTACGATCTTTGCATTACAATAATTAAATTTATATTGCAAGTACTTTTGAGGCATATTGTTTAATCGTTGCATTCTCAGTATACGCAGTACAGCCATGTAGACAGGTTTTCGATTCTATTCCGCCAATGTTTTACAATATGCTGCAGTACTATCATGCCTTTTCTGCTTAACTTCCCGTTTGTCCTTCCATAAATGCAAAACCATGTGTCAGTAATGATGACGGGATTTTTTTCCTTATATTAATGCCACTGATCTTGAATAGATTTTTTCGTTCTAAGCCTAACCTTGTGTGCTATCGTCTGGTCGGTGCACTCCCTTTCCTTGATTTTGGTAAACAAAACTTGTGATGTAGCTCTGTAAACTTTCCAAGAATGATGTTCTCTGTTTTGTGTATTTCTTTGGCAAGTGAAAATGCTTGCGTGCCTTCTCGGGTAGGCGTCTTGAGAACTTCGTCGCACGTCAAACTCACTTTTTTTCACCATTACTAGATTATTGATTTGAGATGTTTTTCGAAAAAAATGGAGCTATTCGTTTAGCAAGACTTCGAAATTTCACATTAAGGGTCCCGAGCTCCTTCGGATCAACGAGATTCCCATTCGTTCGCTTCGAATTCACCGGCAGGAGCTGAGCGAGAGCAAGTTGATTGATGCCATTGGAGATTTTCTTCAGTGGTCGACTCAGAAATTCCATCTGTGGCGAGCAATCTGTCAGTAAGCTTCGTTGATATTATCTTCTCTTGGAAACAAGTAACCGGTAGGATTTGCTTTATCTAAGTCAATTCTCTGAAACTACCGCTGAACCTGTACACTAAGTGGTGATGCATTTTTCCTCCCCATTTTGATTTGATTAGTGTTATTTAAATTGCAAATTGTTTTTCCCCATAGAAAATCAACGTGTTGCGTAGAGTTCAGTCGGAAGATAACGACAGAGCTATCTTCGGATGGCGTGCTCACCCTTTGGGCCCGGCGCCGAGAGCAAGCTATTTGGGTTGGCGGTCCCGCTTCCGATTGCAACCTGTGCTTCTTCAAATACTTCGACCCTAACATCTGCACTCTTTGCTACTGTGGCCACGCCGACTTGCCAACTTCGGCTTCTGTTGAGGCTCTTCCTGCCCTTCTGAACAAACGCGTTGGTCTCCCGCCCACAACACCACTCATCTTTTACCGTCAGGACAACGCTCAACTACCCAAGCCCGTAGAACTAGCTGTGCTTTCACGGAAGCTCAAACATGGAGAAATTATCTATTTCCATGTGTGTTTATGCCATTTCATTTATGCTTCCTCTTTGCAACCCAGCAGGCGGCAGTAGTTGTGTGAATTTGAGGTAGAA